GTGAGGCCCCGTTTGGCCGAGAAGACGAAGTGGCTGCTGAACCGAGTGGGGCTGCTGCTGCCACACCGAACGGGGTTGATGCTGCGAAGAAGTAGATTAGTTTCTTCTTCGTTGTTTTTGCTAAGTGAACTCGATCGAGAACCCGGTCCCTCTTTTGTACCGGGCACAATCTTGAACTTTAATGAAATCTTGTTTTGTTAAACTTGAGTGGCTCGTAATTGTTACGCTTTATTTCCACTTGCATGTATGTCCATCTTCTAATGCCCGACCCTACGACCTTATGGCCGAATCGTGCACATTCCGACCGAATGGCCTACTGGCCCGTCAAGATATCGAAATTTAGTGGCCTGCCCGCTCGGGAGTTTCCCGACCTTCAGGCCTTGTCGAAAATTCAAAAAAAAGTTTGGCCTCTTAGCTCGGGGTATTCCCGATCACTAGGCCTTCGAAAAAGTTTGGCCTCGGGGTGTTCCAGATCATTAGGCCTTGAACACTTCGTTCATCCAAGCCCCCACACTGTTGTGCGCTTGAGGCACGAATGGGTGCAATAGTGGAAAGAAGTTGGACGGATCGGGAAAATTTGCTGTAGCTCTGGCTTTCCCAATAGTCGGCGTGACCCGAGTGTCCGCCGAAGATGAGCGCATTAGCCGGTCGATCAATTCGCCCGACTGAGTTGTAAACGGCTATTAGAGCCAATTCGAGAGATGGCTATTAGAGCCAATTAAGTTGAGGGCTATTAGAGCCATTTCGTTGCAAGCCCCTATCGGTATGAACCGAGGGAGAGGCGTTGGGTTGGGCGAAAAGCCCATCTTCCTTGTTGTTGCCGAACTTGATCGGGTAGATCCCGAGCACGACTGGTTGTGGAAGTTGATTCAAAGCAGCTTACTGTAGAATTAGAGAACCGATCGGGCCACCGTATGCAAACGGTCGAGCAATCGCTGATCGTATTTACATTAGGAAAATCCCGTTCGCAGACGGTTAGGAATATTTACAACAAATAATCTACGAACATTTAGTCGACGAATAGAGCCCACTCGTAGGTTGAGCCGCCACTTCGTCTAAAATTACAAAAAATAGGCTAATGCCTAAACATAACGAGGTGCTCGGAATTCCAAGTCCCCTCGATCACCCGACCGGTCGTCGTCTCCAGTCGGTATGTCCCAGGCCGTACTACAGCGCTGATGACGTACGGCCCTTCCCAATTTTGAGCTAGCTTCCCGCCTTCTAAAGGTTGACTGGATTCCCGTCGGCTTAGGATGTAATCTCCGACGTGAAAGTACCGAGGGTGGACCCGGACATCCTTTGTACTCTTGACTCTCTTCTGATACTCGGTCATACGCCGAGCGGCTAGCTCTCTCTTTTTCTCGACCCCGCCGAGATCCACGACCATCGAGTGTTCATTTTCTTCTGCATTGTACGTTCGCTCACGGGCGGTCGGGATCCATGCCTCGATCGGGAGTCGGGCTTCAGCTCCGTAGACAAGGACAAACGGCGTCTCCAAAGTCGCTTCTTTCGGGGTCGTCCGATAAGTCCACAAAACATAGGGCAACTCATCGGCCCAACTACGACCAGCCGAGTGTAAGCCACCGACGACCGGATATGGGTTGTCCGATTGGCGTTCTCCACTTGTCCGTTTCCCTGCGGGTAAGCCACCGACGATCGGATATGGGTTGTCCCGATCGTGGCTAAAAAATTCTGAAAATATTGCCACGTAAACGGTAAATAAGTGTTAATTTCCACGTAAGCGGTAAATAAACTAAGATCAGACCAATTAAAGCAAATAAATGTCTTTTATTGATCAAGGTGAAGGTCCTAAGTACAATCTAAATGGCTGTTCCGAGTACCGACTGACTGCGGTCGGGATGCTTTGATAACAACCTGTCGATCGTCCAAAAGTCCCCCACACTGTTGCCATCGCGGGTATTTATAGCCGCGAGGCCGGAGACACAAGTCCGGCCGTCCGGCATGTCGCCCACGTAGCAACCATGTGTCGTCCTCTCGGGTGCCCTGCCTGTCAGCACGTAGCGTTGCCACGTGTCTCTTCTCAGCTCTCTCGCTTAAGGGCTACCGCTCGGTGGTCGACAACGCCGGTCGGGTGATGTCCGGTCGGGAACCGACTGGGTTCTTCTAAGAAATCCGACATGTAACCTGCACAAACAAGAACAAAGGAACGAAGGCATGTCGGTCGGGGTATTCCCTACCACTATCGTTCTCATTTTGCATTAGTATATTCTTTGATTGATTTGGAAATCAAAATGATATTGGGTTGCTTGATCTGAAAATCAAAATATTATATGTGGAGTTTTTTTAAAAAGATTTTTAAAGAAGTGGTATCCGCAACACTTTCAGCATAGAAAGTGCGCGGATACCCTTGTTAAAAAAAATCTGTGTAATTTTTTATTTAAATGTGTCACAAATTTTTTACTTTTCGCGATAATTTTACAAGTGTCACGGATAGTCTTATACAAATGTAGTGGATGTGTAATTTTGTACTAGTGAAATATATGTAGTTTTAGCAATTATATTTTTTAAGTTGTAAAGTTATTATACTGTAGATTCATAATTTCTGTACTGTAGATTCATATATCTTTAACAACAAATGAAAAATAAAATTATGAATCTACGTTTTCAAAAACATAAAAATATAAAAAATTATGAATCTATAGTATAACAATTGCAATTCAATAGTTATGCTATGGAAACCTGTTCATCATGCGCATGGATCTACCCACCATGCGAATGATGAACAGGTTTCCATAGCATAACTATTGAATTGCAATTGTTATACCCTGCACCACGGCGCACAGTGCACTATGCGCCCCGCGCCTCCGGAAACGATGTCGTTTTGGGAGGCGCGATAGGAAGTTGACATGATTATGTATATTTGTTTCTACAATTATGTATATTTTTTATTATATACATTTTTTATACAATTATGTACATTTTTTCAATACAATTATGTACATCCGAATCAAGAAATTTTTGTGTATTATGTTAAGAGTTGATGTGTATTATGTTAAAAGTTTATGTATTATATGTTAGATTATGTGTATTATCTTTTAAAAAAGAGTATGTGTATTTTGTTACATAATTATGTACATTCATGCATACAATTATGTGTATTCTAGTATAACATTATGTACATTTTTGAACATGAGAATTTTTTTTAAGGAAAATTAACTGTCAAACACTGGGTAACGAAATTTCAAAAAAGAATAATAATAATAATGAAACGACATCGTTTTACATCTGGGCACATAATAACGCCTCCACTAAAGCTCGAACTCACAACCTTCCAAATAAAAATCCAACCCGAATACCATTAGACCACATAGTCCTGGTTGACATTTTGCAACCTATCTCATTATTTTACTATAATTTAATTTTTATAATACAACTTATTAGTTTATTGTCTTAATTATGACCTCTTTTATGTGTAAACTAGTTTTTTACGTGCATTGCGCGATTGAGATAATGTCCAATGTTTTTTTTTTTTTAAATAAGTACTTTAAAGTATATCAAGGCAAGATATATTGGAATTGTTCATGCATAGATAATTGAATGTTAAATTTATGTATTTAAATAGACAATTCTAAGTTTACAAATGCAAGATAATATAGTCAAGATTGATTATAATTGTCAATAAAATAATTGTATATGTATGGTTGAAACTAAATATGGGACATAAGGGAGAGCAAATAAAAATTAGGGTATAAAATGTTAAATATATACTAATATTGAAGAGCTAACTGCTGATTGCCAAACAAGGACATTGCGAGATAGTTTCTCACTTCAATTTGTTGGGTGATTTGAATACTCTTTTTGTCGATAAATTCCCCCAAGTAGTTAATATGATTGGCTTAATTATATTTTTTATTTTTTTAAAAAAATTACTCCGTATTATATATATATATATATACCCTTAGGTCATTTTACATGTTAATCTAAACAACTAATTTTTTCAAATATATTTTTACCAGCCGTTGATATAATTCGCTGGTCAAATTCGCTAATATAATCCGCTAACGCTAACCGTTAACAGATGATTGTCAAACAAGGACATTGTGATGTAGTTCTCACTTCAATTTTTTGTGTGATTTGAATACTCTCTTTGTCAACAAATCCCTCAAGTATTTAATATGATTGACTTTATTAATTATTTTTTTTAAAATTTTTCATGGTATTAATAAAATACTTGGTAAATAAATATATAGCATTATTTTTTTTTTATAACTTTGATATTTAATTAAAAATAGTGCACAAAAAAATAATAGACAATGTAGTGAATATAATCAATTGATGAATTTTGATATAAAGAATTTTTACATTGGAGAAATATAAAGATAATATAACTAATAAAATTATTTCTCTTAATTAATTTATTGATAATGAATATTCTTTTTTAAATAAAGACATTGTAGGGACAATGTAGACGCTTTCGTGTAACATGCTATGGTCTCAACGTCCTTACGAGGTAGTGATTAGTTTCAATATAATCAATTGATGAATTTGAATGTAAAGAATTTTTGCATTGGAGAAAAACAAATACAATATAACTAATGAAATTATTTCTCTTATTTAATTTATTGATAATGAATAATTTTTTTTGAATAAAGACATTATAGACACATAATTCTAAATTAAAGAAATGCATATGTATTATTTTTTGTTGTAGCTACTAAATTATTATTTCTATCTACTATATATATATATATATATATATATATATATATATATATATATACATACTAATAAGAGGCCAAGAGAGTTAGGCCTATAATGGGTAGAAAAAATGGCGGTCACAGATTTTAATCAAATGAGTGACTCAGATTTATCAAAAAATTGATCAAATTTAAATTTTACACTAAAATTTACTTAAATACCCACACACCATTACTCCATCTGTTAAAATTTTTAATTCACCGTTAAGTCTATCTCACCGAACCTCCCTTTAGTATATCTCACCAAAACTGGCCAAAAGGAATTTAGGCTTTGAGCAGCAGCATGGTTTCTGGATGCTGAAGAAATTTCAAGATTTCGCCAAATTTTCCTCATCGAGATTTACTTCATCCACTTATAATCCATCATCCTTGAATTAATCCCTAGACTAGATTCTGCCGTCAACAGGAGCACAACAACAAGAAGCAAAGAACTCTTATCGTCACTACTCCTCAAGGAAACAAAACTCCTTCTCAGATTATACTAATAGACCTCCTTCCTCTGATCCCTCGATTTCAAATACCCCATTTAGAAACGGTTAGTTTTTTTTTTTTTTAAATATTAAAATAAATAAAAATCCCATCTTGTTTTTCCCCTTTCTTATTCGTTGATTAAACTTCATTCTTGGCAATTTCTGTTGTTGTGTGCCCTAATACAAGTTTAGTTTAAGCCAATTTGCTTACTACATATAAAGATTGAGAATGTTTTTTTGTTTAGTATAAGTCAAATTTGCTTAACTATATATAATGATTGAGGATTTCTGATGTGTTTCATTATTTGTCTGTGGTACTATTTGCTGTTTAGAACCTGTAATTTTATGGAGGTTGGAATAAGGTTGAAATTACAGTTTAACATTACCTAGGCAGGCAGTGCTCCACATTTTATCTGATAATGTAATTTAGCTATGGAGGAGCAGATTAGAGTATAATGGTAAAGAGTTAATAGCGAATTTAGTATAGTGGTTTTTCTGAATTTAGATTTAAACGACTTTTTGTGCTTAATTAGGTCCTCAACTTTGATGGGTTTACCCAATTGAGTCCTATGTTTAGATAGCTTGGTAATTTCATCTCTATTAATATCCAGACTCCGGGAATACTAATTCTGTAAGTATTATGATCTAAAGATTGGTACTGAAGGTCTGAAGTTGAAGCTGTGAAGGGATCTATCTATTGAGGTAATCTTTTTTACCTATATAAATTTTTGTGAGAAGATGGCGATTACTCTTTTATTTTTTCCTGTGAATAAGCTGGCCAGGCCTCAAAAAGGTGTGCCCTGTGGATCCTTATTCCCTTAGAGAATATGAGGATGATCCATCCTTGTAGGTCAAGCACAACTTTTCATCAACTAACTTCTGCGGTATGCCACATTGTGCAGACTAACTCTTTCTTCAAAAGCGATTCTTTGGGAAACCTCAAATGGTAATCCAATTTCATCCACCCCTTAAAAGGAACACCAGTAATCACACTATGAGAAGAAAATCCAGATCCCTTTCTAATAAATAATGTTTTCATCTTTGTCCTACTTTTGGTGGTAAAATATGGATCAAAAAGTGTTTCTGACTTTCTATGCATTGTAATTCAATCCCCAATTTTGTTAGGGCTTAAGTTCGTGAAAGATAAATCTGCCAAATTAAAGCAAGCAAGTGAAACAGATCATCGCGTTGAACTCAGTGTTAGAACTCTCTCCCACACTCACTCCTTTGTTCTCTATCTTTTCTGTACATTCTGTTCATGATATCTCAACTACTGAATATTATCAGCTGAAACTAATATTGGTTTTGAAGGTCTGAAGCTGAAGCTGTGAAGGGATCTACCTATTGAGGTAATCTTTTTTACCTATAAAAATTTAGATTTCATAAAACTTGATTTTTCCTGTCTGAGTTGTTGAATTTCCCCTAAATGTACTTGATGTTCTACAAATTTGTAAACATTACAATTCACAATCTAGATTTCATTAAACCTACCCTTTTATAATAATTTTAATAATGTGTATGTTTGTGTATTCTATGCATAGTGGGAAATGATAGAAGTCTACTATATACTTATATTATATACTTTTTTCCTTTTTATTTTATTTATTGTAATTTTTGTGGACATGGGTGATGATTGCATATGCAGAATCTGATGATAAACAACTCAAATCTGATAATTATTATGTGGCTATATATAGTTCTAAACATGTCACTGCTGGAAATCTCGCATTTTCCGTCCAAAGAATGTTGGACGGAAAACGCGATATATTGGTCGGAAACAAGGTTTCCGTCCAACATAGCGACCAAATTGAACGTTCAGAAAAACGCTTGTCGGAAATTCCGTCTAATTCTAATTTTTGGTCGGAAATAGCGTCCAATATTTAAAAATGGACGGAAATTCCGGACAATAACCCACCATTCTTAAAACGTGGGAATTTCCATCCAACTACATGCGTTGGTCGGAAATTCCAACCAACAATTAGACGGAAATATCGAGTACCGAATGTTGTGACTTTCCTCGTTGGTAGGAAAAATTCTAAATCATACAAAATGTTTTTATTATTTTTATATTACCATAATTTTGTTTCTACCTGTTTTTTTATAAATTATATCATCAACAAATTAATAAAAACACTAAATTTCAAATTAAAAATATATTTAAACATTAAAATTATTTACAACAAAAATTATAGTCATGTCTATAGTTCTTCCAACAACGGACTATTACCATACACCAAAAAAAAATCATGAAAATATATACTACTTAATCAATACTAAGTAAGTATGCTTGATGCACCCCAAATAAGCCTCAAAATGCTCGCTGCACCCAAATAAGCCTCAAGATGGGCTGCCTTTCTCTTTACAAACTGCAGGAATTATAATACGAAGCATGTTGCCCAAGTTCCCTGCTCATATGAAAGCAAGAATTTATAAGTTGTCATGCACACTCTAAGCACACCTTGCAGGGAGTATTCATCAAATAAACTTATTAACAAAGCTACAGGCTATGCCTAGAATTCATGCTAGCTTTATTTTTGTTTTTATTGGGTATTGCTCAAGGCCTATAATGGTCTCCAACCCACACTGCTTGGGTATTACTATCATATTTGCTATATATCAAATATTAGGAAAAAAAAATACTCCGTAATAAAGACTTCAGCATTCTGATTTTTACTAAACTTCGAAGTTTTAGAAATATAATACAATTTTTAATTTCCTTCAACTAGGGGATAAAATAGAAATTCCACCCAAAAATTTCTAGACCAATGCTTGAGTATGTAAAAGCCTGTGAGTAAATGGAGATTGAGCAAAACTTACCCATTTCAATTCGCACGTGCATGAGTAGAAAGGGGAAGACAGACAGAACCTTAGTGTCAGCCCATATCCCCCTGCAATCTGCATATAACCCAAAAAAAAAAACATACACCAAAATAAAAATGTAAGGTAAATAAATGCACAATAGCATTTAGTATACTAGTAAAAACGAATCAAAATAGAATCTCTTAGATACCATAATCATATAAAGAAATGATCATTTTATTCAAGACAATAGAAATATGTATGGCAGAATCTCATAAAATTCCCCACATATTGCAAAGACTAACACACCCACTTTTGGTTGTCAACAATGACATATGTGAATGGTGAATTTCCTCCTTTGGACGCCTGAATTGAAAAGGAATACATTGCCACTATTAATAACTTGAAGTTCCCAAAACAATTTATCTCAAAGAAACCAAATTTTTAATCCAAAGGACAAACAATAAGATCTCCAGCTTTATTCATATCTATACATAGTTGGATAAGCAATAATGTTTACATTCTTCTTAAATCCTCAACATATTATTAATCAAACTTCCATTTCAGCAACCACATTAAATTAAAGTGCATAAGCATAAACACCCGTATCATAATTTTAGTTATAGAATTTCACGATATGAAGTTCACCAATTAACCAATGGGGGAGCACTTACAGACAGAATCAGCAGGAGAAAGAGAAAGCCCTTTCTTCTTCTCCTCTTCACCCAATAGACCTTACTTTCTTGATGCTATAGATGAATGTAAGTTCTCCCAATAGACCTTACTTTCTACACTTCTCCACCACTGTTTCTGAGTTAATCGCATGTGTTGAGTGTATTAAGCAAAATATAGTGAATCTTAGTGCCTGTCCCGACAAGAACAACAATCCTATCCTCATAATTGCAGTTTATAACAATGTAGAAACAATGCAGAATTTGCAGAAACATAAACAGAAAAAATATAGAATTTGCAGGAAGAAGAAGCAGTTGACTTGGTTTTGCTAAAATACATATGAATGTTTTGAATTGGAGAAGCAGGAAGTTATAAATTAGTGCATAAATCTATACTGTTTTGACTCCATTCTTAATCTCTATTCATGTTGATTTTATTGTTATTTTCCAAATTCTTCAAACTACTTTCCCCCACCCATTAATTAGTCCACTATACTCCTCAAATCTCTCTCCCACTCCCTTCTTTTCCACTCCAATCACCCATTCCCTTTCCTGCGTTTTAGTCTGCAGTACCAAAAGAAAGAAAATCCCACAAAACAAAAACCACCAACTTCTACCAGTAACAACCAACCAAATACCATCACCCATTCCCTTTCCTACATTTGACACTTACCTGCTTCGAGATGGAGAGGAGAATGTCGGCCAGGTCCCAATTTCTGCAAATAAACTCAACAAAATAAAAACCCTAAAAATCTTACTGCCGGAGTTGAGATGACGACGTTCTGCTCTTCTGGCTGACAACGATACGGCAGATGAGGTGGCGACTGGCACGAGGCGACAGTGGTTCTGCACTCCGATCGCAAATGGTGGCGGTAGATGACAGTGAGTTATGGTGGTTCTCAGGAAGAGATTTCGTCGGAGAGGGTTTGTAGCAAAATTTCGTCTAAAAGAGATTTAGGGGTCGTTTACTTCATTTTTCTGTTTTTACATTTCCAGTTTTCCATTTCTCCATTTTTCCAGTTTTCCTTCTCCATTTCTCCAATTTTTCATTTCTCCAGTTTTCTCATTTTCATTCCCTATTCCTCCAATTTTTCATTTCTCTAATTTTCTGATTTCATTAAATACAATAATCTCATATAGCATTTGTACATTTCTACAACAAAGATATAATAATAATAATAATAATAATAATAATAATAATGGGGTGCGATCTCATGCAAATGGCCGCTCAGGTGCGAAATGCAAACCAATCAGGGCGCGCCACATGTCAACATTCAATGATCGGGTGCACCTAATTTCACCTACAAGTGTACCTACTTTCACCTACAAGTGCATGTAATAACTATATGTGAACCTAGTTATAAATATATGTGCACCTAGATCTGTACACGTGGCGCGCGCTGATTGGTTCGCATTTCGTCCTAGACGCGCTATTCGCACCAGAACGCGACCCTAATAATAATAACGAAATTAAAGGAGAAAAACAAATAATAATAATAATAATAATAATAATAATAATAATAATAATAATAATAATAATAATAATAAAGAAGAAGAAGAAAGAAAGAAAGAAAGAAAGAACAGGCAAAGAAACGAAAGAAAAGGAGAAAAACAAATAATAATAATAATAATAATAATAATAAAAGAAAAGGAGTAATAATAATAATAATAATAATAATAATAATAATAATAATAATAATAAGAACGAAAGTAAAGGAGAAAAACAAATAATAATAATAATAATAATAATAATAATAAAGGAAAGAAAGAACAGGCAAAGAAACGAAAGAAAAGGAGAAAAACAAAAAAAACAAATAATAATAATAATAATAATAATAATAATAATAATAAAGAAGAAGAAGAAAGAAAGAAAGAACAGGCAAAGAAACGAAAGAAAAGGAGAAAAACAAATAATAATAATAATAATAATAATAATAAAAGAAAAGGAGTAATAATAATAATAATAATAATAATAATAATAATAATAATAATAATAATAATAATAATAAGAACGAAAGTAAAGGAGAAAAACAAATAATAATAATAATAATAATAATAATAATAATAATAATAATAATAATAATAAAGGAAAGAAAGAACAGGCAAAGAAACGAAAGAAAAGGAGAAAAACAAAAAAAACAAAGAAAGCGCATTACTACGTGCACAGGAGGATTCGAACCAAAGACCTATTTAAACCATGCACTGTTCACCCGCGTCCCCTTCCTCTCTCCCATTTGGAGATATCTAAATAATCTTTCTCTAAAATTGTACATAAGGTTGGAGAATGGAGAGGAGTTAGGAAATTAGAGATAAGATTTTAGTAAACAAATTTTCCATTTTCCATTCTTCCACTTCTTCAATTCTCTGTTTTTCCAGAAAATTCTCCATTTTTCTATTTTGGTAAACGATCCCTTAGGGTTGCAAATAGAGGTTGTCTGCCAATCTTCTATTTTTCCCACCCAAAGTTCTATATTTCCCGCTTCTCTATTTAGTGCCTCACTATTCTAGTATTCCTCTATTTTTTAGCTCAAGTTTTTTAATTTTCGTCCAACAACAATATTGGACGGAAATTAAAATAGCTACCGTTTTCAATTTTTACCAATGTTTATCGACCAACACTAAAGATTGGACAAAATTTCCTTTCAACACGGGACGTTGGACGAACTTTCCGTCCAACATTCGCGCGTTGGACGGAAATTCCAACCAACTTTCCGTCAATCCATCTTTTACCGTAGAAAGTTGAGATTTTTATTAAAATACCGACCAAATTATAGTTGGACGAAATGTTGGACGGAAAACGCGAAATTTCCAGCAGTGTGTTTATCAGGGATTATATTGTATGTCAATTAAGGCGGGATTATATTGTATGTCAATTAAGGCAGCGGTTGATAGATTTTAGACATGACATGGGGATTGTTTGCTTTTGACATTTTAGGTAGAGAACTTAGATTTATTGGTTTAGCACATTTGTTTAATGTTATTGATGAAGAAAGAAATATTAGCTCCTTCCCCTTTTCCCTCCAACAGCAAGGCAGTCCCATTACACAGTAGCTCCTTTTCCTTTTCTGATTTTGGCATACTTGAGAAGAGAGAGCTATTCCCGTTTGAACAATTAGGCTCGACAAAACATAAGGCCGACACTGGTCACCTAGCTGCCAAATTTTATAACTCCCCCAAGTGCAAGAGATGTGAGCTTGGAGATCTGGCACAGAAAGTTCTTGGGATCAGGAGAATGATTGGGCTGGCTGATTCTTCATCGTTCGAGAGACATGAGCAGATCAAATGTTGAATCTGCCAACTGTTTCTATCTACCGTTATTGCCATGTCATTGTTTGGTGCCATAGAGAAGAAAAAAGTGAATGCTAAATTAAAGACAATAATCTTACTGGTAATTATTGCAGATAGCAATGAGGAAGGTGATTGTGGCAGTAATTGCATAATTTTTGTGAGAAGATGGTGATTACTCTTTCCTGTATTTTTCTTGGGATAAAATGTGGTCATTTTTTAATTATAAGTTTTTCTGTTTATAGTTATGACAATTTTCTGAATTTATCATTTTTTTAGCATCTCTTTTTATGGAGTCTGGGCGTCCTGGAATTGCTGAATCTAGTGACGCAGAGAGTCAACAAGCGGAGAACAACTTGAAACGACGAAATGCATACTCAACAATGGATCCTGATAAAAAACGAAAGATATTAGATTAAATATCAAAGTTATAATACAAAATAATGCTATATATTTATTTACCGAGTATTTTATTAATACCATGAAAAAATTTTAAAAAATATAATTAATAAAGCCAATCATAATATTAACTACTTGAGAGATTTGTTGACAAAGAGAGTATTCAAATCACACAACAAATTGAAGTGAGAATTATCTCGCAATGTCCTTATTTGACAATCAGCAGTTAGAGGTTAGCGTTAGCGGATTTGACCAACGAATTATATCAACGGTTTGTAAAAAGATATTTAAAGAATTAGCTATGTAGATTAATATGTAAAATGACCTAAGGGTATGATGATGATGATGATGATCATCATGATCATCATCATCATCATAATAATAATAATAATTATTATTATTATTATTATTATTATTATTGTTGTTGTTGTTTTAAAAAAATAAAAAATAATAATAAAATAATAATAAAAAATATAATTAAGTCAATCATATTAACTAATTGGGGGATTTATTGATAAAAAGAGTATTCAAATCACACAACAAATTGAAGGGGGAAACTAACTCGCAATGTCCTTGTTTGGCAATCAGTAGTTAGCTCTTCAATATTAGTATATAATTAACATTTTATGCCATAATTTTTATTTGTTCTCCCTTATGTCCCGTATTTGGTTTCAACCATACTTATACAATTATTTTATTGACAACTATAATCAATCTTGACTATATTATCTTGCATTTGTAAACTTAGAATTACATATTTAAATATGAAAATTCAACATTCAATTATCTATGCATGAACAATTCCAATATAATCTTGCTTTGATATACTTTAAAGTACTTATTTTTTAAAAAAATATTGGGCATTATCCAATCGCGCATTGTGCGTAAAAAACTAGTAATTTAATAAGAGTAAAATGGAGTATTAATTATGTCAACTTTGATTGGGATGAGGTTCGAACCTAAGACCTTTCTTATTGAAATCAATGAGTAAGTTAACGGTGAACTAATAGAAATTAACGGAAAAGATAATATTTAACGAAAAAGTTAACGGATAATCATATTCATTAAGAATAAATTAGGAAATCCAAAGGAAAAAATATAATCTGATCAATCTGAGCCATTCATTTGATTAAAAAATTTGACCCCCATTTTTTCTACCCATTATAGGCCTAACTCTCTTGGGCTCTAATTAGTATACTAGTTTTTTTACGCACTTTGCGCGAATGAGATAATGTCCAATGATTATTTTTAAATAAGTATTTCAAAGTATATCAATGCAATATTATATAGGAGATGTTTATACATAGGTAAATAAATGTTGAATTTGTTTATTTAAATCGGTAATTTAAAGTATATAAATTCAAGATAATATATGAGAGATTGATTATAATTATATTGTCACTAAAATAAATTTTTACAATTTTGTAATAATGCTAGTATAAATACTTAGTCTTAAAGCGATAGTATAAATAAATACTACTTTTGGTTTAAATTTCTCTAATTCTTCTTAATTCTCTTTTGGGTAGCATTGTCATTGTTTTCATCTTCAGTACATGTCCTTTTTTTTTTTTATTGGTAGTGTGTCATGTGCAATTAGGTTACTGGTGTAGCATAGAGGGATTCATCATGCAATGATGAGATTATGGTGTAGCTTATGAAGCTTTAGAATTGCCTTAGCTTGTTGTGTATATGACTGAGATTTTAGTTGTAATATGAACTCTTTATCATACAAACACCTATTGATATTTAGTAGTGACAGTTTTTTCCCTACATATTTCATGTATTGTGAGATATGTGTCGTAGATTATCATGTGAAAGTATTGAACAAAATATTAATATGTATTATATTTGTATAAAATACTTGGTAAATAAATATATATAACATGTTTTGTATTGTAACTTTGATATTTAATTACAAGATAATGTAAAAATAAGACAATGGACAATGTAGTGAATATAATAAATTAATAAATTTGAAGCTAAGGAATCATCTTTATAACTAATGAAATTATATTTCTTTTAATTTTTTTATAATGAATATTTTTTTTTTAAATAAAGCATTATAGAATCTAATTCTAAATTAATTAAATGTATATGTATTATTTTTTTGTTGTAGCTACTAATTTATTTAATTTAATAAGAGTAATAAAGTATCGTACATGCTTTTCATCAACAATAATAAAATCAATGATTTTTTTAAATTTTCATTTCTTGTTGAGACAATTTTTTAAGAGTTTGTCAATGACAATTGCTACAATTATTGTCAATAGATGATGATAATAAATAATTCAAAATATATGGTTACAATAGATATTGTTATAATGATATAATAAAAATTAACTTACAAATTTCTTTAGAAGTTTTCATGCATTGATCAAGTTCTGATGTGTAAACTTGTTAAATTGGAGCTAGTAGGATGTTAACATTGTCAACTATTTGGAAAATGGTCCTACCGTTTTAGAGTCCATGTGTAATTGTATTTATGATCAACAACTTTGTAGTTAGGCCGCGCATGTCTGACAATGATGTAAGAACAATTTTGTGGGATAAAAAATAATGGTATAATATTTGTAAAGTAATGTACAATTGTACCATTATAAAAAATACAAAAAAATATGAATATCATAATGACTTAAATAATTCCAATAATGCAAAAGCATAATTGAAATATTAAGTTTCATCCTAAATAATCAAAAGAAGATTAATTAAATGTAAAAGAAAAAAAAAAAAAAAACTTAACCTAATTTTTTTTTTTTAAATTCAAGAAAACCAAATGATTTTTAAAGTTCATAATTTATAATCTTTGATGCTCAACTTTGGTTGCTATGTATTTAGTCGGGCTAATTATTTGACTAAAGTTTATGTTATATTTTATATTATATATATTTTTAATGAATTTTAACATATTCATAATATATGTTTAACAATTATGTCAACTCTAATTGGGATGTGGTTCGAACCTAAGACCTTTCTTATATAAATTAATGAGTATGTTAAGAATAATAAATAGGTAATGGAATATTCCGTTACTAAAGTTTATACTAACGGAATTTAGGGTTATTTAAGGGAAGAAAATAATATAATAGAGGGTAAATAAGGAAAATCATTAAAAAAATACTAAAATCAAAATAATATGAACCATTCATTTTAAGAAACTACTACCGACATTTTTTTGTTGCAGTTAAGGGCCTAACATTATTGACTCTTATTAGATTTGTATTGTATGTACTAGTTCTTTTACGTGCTTTGCGCAAATGGAATAATGCCCAATGATTATTTTTAAATAAGAATTTCAAAGTATATCAATGCAATATTATATCGGAAATGTTCATGCATAGGTAAATAAATATTGAATTTGTTTATTTAAATCAGTAATTTAAAGTATATAATTGCAAGATAATATATGAGAGATTGATTATATTGTCACTAAAATAAATGTTTGCAACTTTGTAATAACGCTAGTCTAAAAACGATAGTCTAAATAAATATTATTTTTTGTTTAAATTTCTCTAATTCTTCTTAATTCTCTTTGAGTAGCATTGTCATTGTCTTCATCTTCAGAACTTGTCCTTTTTTTTTTTATATTGGTAGTGTGTCATGTGCAATTGGGTTACAGGTGGTAGCATAGATGGATTCATCGTGCAATGAGATTATGGTGTAGAAAGATTTAGATTTGCCTTGTTGTGTATATGATCGGATCTTAGTTGTACTATTAACTCTTTATCTTACAAGCACCTATTGATATTTGGTTGTGGTAGTTTTTCTCATACATGTTTCATGCGTTGTGAGATGTGTGTCGTAGGTTATCTTGTGAAAGTATTTAACAAAATATTAATATTAATTATATTTGCATAAAATACTTGGTAAATAAATAAATAATAAATATATATATATATATATATATATATAACATATTTTGTATTATAACTTTTATATTTAATTACAAGATAATGTAAAAAAAAAAAAAAGATAATAGACAATGTAGTGAATATAATAAATTAATAAATTTGAAGGTAATGAATCTTTGAATGGTAGAAAATAAAGATAATATAACTAATGAATTATATCTCTTTTTAATTTTTTTATAATGAATAATTTTTTTTAAAAAAAATAAAAGCATTATAGACATCCAATTCTAAATTAATTAAATGCATATGTAATTTTTTTGTAGCTACTAATTTATTTAATTTAATAAGAGTAATAAAGTGGCGTGCATACTTTTCAACAACAATAATGAAATCATTGTTTTTTTAAAAAAAAAATTTACATTCGTTTTTGTTGAGACAAATTATTTTGAGAGTTTGTCAATGACAATTGTTACAATTACTGTCAATAGAGGATGATAATAAATAATTTAAAATATATAGTTACAATAGATATTTTATAATGATATAGTAAAAATTAACGTAAAAATTTATTTAGAAGTTTTCATGCATTGATAAAATTCTTATGTGTGACAATGATGTAAGAACAATTATATTCGATAAAAAAAATAATAGTCTAATATTTGTAAAGTAATGTACAATTGTACCATTAAAAAATACATACAAAAAATATTAATACCATAACAACCTAAATCATACCAATAATGCAAAAGTATAATTGAAATATTAAGTTTCGTTTTGTTCTAAATAATCAAAAGAAGATTAATTATACGAAAAAAAAAAACGTAACCTAATTTTTTTTTTTTAAATGCATAAAAATCAAATGATTTTTAATGTTCTTGAT